CACCTTTGCGATTGAGATCACAAAGAATGTATACAAATGGTACGTTGTTGTTTTCATTATATTTGCTTTTTGATAATTATCTGGTTGGTAGAAAATATCTTTTCAATCGGAGCTGATAGATTGAGTTTTTACTGTTTGTTCTCGAAATCTTTAGTAGGAGATAGGAGAACAAGAACTGTTTTTGCTCATTTCATGCTTTCTCGTTATCAGCGCCTTTTAAGGAATTCATGTGAGTGCTGGTGACTGTGGGGATCCATACTATTTATTTTCCTCATCTGTCTACGGATATTCTCCACTGTCAAATGCCTCCTTTTCTTCCATAGGCGGATTTGGAGACTGCAACACATCTAAGCCCGAGAAGCTCCAAGACGAAGGTGAATGGTTGGAAGAGCGCGACAGCAATGGCTGGAGAAATATTCCTATGTTCAATCCAAGTGTAAGAATGCATCATTCGAGCGCTATGGCTAGCCAGGTAACAAGCCTTGCTTTTTTTCGTTATTTCATTTTGCACAGATTTCTGCATTCTGTCTCTTGCTTCCATATTACTATCCAAAAATCCAACTGTTTTTTTCTTATGGAATGCTTGTCAATTATTTTTGTCAGTTACTTTCACTTTTCCTAGTAAGTGGGCTGCAAGCGTTATGTGTGTATCTTATCAATCGATAATGAATGACCAAAGATTAGTGATCTTATAAGAACTGCATCTCAATCAAAATTGCTGAAATGCAATCTGAGCCGCTGTACCTTCCACAACATTTTTTGATCAAAATTTAGGTGCTCTAATTGTCTGAGTTTCTTGTTGAGTTTGCCTCAGAGATTTTTCCATTTTTTAAAGTGCAGAAAGCTTTTTGAAATACGAATGTCCCTTCACTAAGGCTCTCTAACAGCATTTACACAAAATTGATCAAGCATCTGTGCAAGAAAAGACACCATATTCTAATCGATATTTTTATTGCATTGTGATGTTTTTAGTTCTGTTCGAAAATACGCCAGAAATTGCTGAAATGGTGCCAGCAGTTCACCCGCATCATGAAATATCCGGCAATTGTCATTAGCCTACTGGCTTTGACGGTGAGCAAA